CCAGAGAATTGGGCCGCAAGTGCGGTTCCGAGGCTCTGTGGTGGTTCCTCAAAGAAGGCATTTCCCGGTTGGAAATCACCTTGGCAGAATGGGCTCGTGCGGCTCGTCGTCGTTTCGCGGCTGCTGTTGCGATTCGGTCCATGAATTCCCGTTCGTCGGCATCCTCCTCCTCTTCTCGTGGTTCCTCCATCTTCTCGTCGTTGTCTTCATCATTCATTATTGTACTCTTGATGAACTATTCGGATAACTCGGGGTGGGATCGATTGCCATCCAGAATGAGCAACGGTAACAAGCGGGAGAGCTCTCTCAGTTTCAGAGTCTTGTAAGCAAAAGGGCTTTAAAAAACTTCTAATGCCAGAGTTGTTGTTTTTAGGATGCCCAGCAAGCCGCGACATTAACTCCGATTGGTGCGATCATAAGTGAACGTCAACTTGCATTCGAATTCCGGACTTCCGGACGTCTTCCATGGCCAAAATTCTTACGGATGGGAACTCGATTTTCCGTCTGGACGCCAACCGGAAAAAGCTCGCTGGAGGCAAACCGACCATGGCCAATCGGCTTCACTCGGATCCAGCAGATTTTCAGCCGTCGCCTCGTTGCAGCTATTATCATTGCACCTTCTGATCCTTGATTTCTCCTGACAAATAGTTTCTAATCATGCACTTGATGTTTTATCTCGACGCCAGTGGGAAGAGGGTGTACACGCTGAAGGTACGTCTGCTGTGTCTGGGCTACCCATGCTTCTTTCCCGCTCCGGAAGACTCACTCATCTATGTCCCACCCCGATGCTTCTGTCTCCCTCTGTTCTTGTGGCAAAACAGAAAGAATCGCCAGAAGGAAAGGTGACAGAGAGTGCTCATCCAGCAAGGTTCTCTCCCGATGACAAATTCAGCCGCCATCGAGTAGCCTGCAAGAAACGATTTGGGCTCTACCTTGTGGATCAGCCCGTCAAGCCTCTGTAGCTCCGAACTATAGCTAGCTAGCTACGACTGTAGCTGTCAAGCTAGCCGCCAAATAGCTATTTGGCCAGGGACAGTGCCCTACGAAACTTTGGAGTTTGATACTGAAAAAGAATAAAATTGATTCTCTGCTTATTGTTACATCATGTAGCTACCAGTATCACCTTCCCGAGAAAAACTTATTGTCGCCACCGCTACCATCACTAAAGATGCAGTCTTTGTTTCCTCGTGGCTGTGTTGGGTTCACGTGAATGGTAAACTACCGGTCTCCCCCTCAGTATCAAGTTTTCAATATTTTCTATTGCATTTGTAATATGGAAAACTATAGTACATTTATTTTCAACTACTGAGTTGACTGAGCTCAATCTTTTCTGCATTCTTAGTGCGGATCAGTCTTAGCCTTGGTTTTGGTGCTTGCCACCTGGACCAACCAACTGTTCTAAAAGATCGACATCCACACGAACAAACTTGTGGATCCAATCATCGCGAACAATAGCAAGTCATTCCTTCCAACGGCTGCTGAGCTTTCCTCGTCCAAAGCCGAGGATTGCGGTAATCGAGTGCTGGTACTGGAAGCAACGGGGATGAGGACTGGTTTGGGTTTGCGAAAGCTGGTACTGGAAGCAATAGGGATGAGACCATCACGCTCCCCTCCTGGAGCAGGATTGCTCCCATCGGCGAGAGCAGATGCATCTGGTTGGAAACCCCGATTTCTCGTCGTAGTACTAGCAATCGGGATGAGAGCAGGTTTGCGGTAGCTGGTACTGGAAGCAATGGGGATCATCCCGTTACGTGCTTCCACAGGAGCTGCCATGGGGGCACCGTCGGATTCTGTAGATCCATCATCTTGAAGCTGAAATCCAGGTTCTCCTCTGAAAATGGGACGATCGCCGGATGATACGGGTCCCGATGTCACGCACTCAAGGCAGAGCCGTGTAGGCTCTGCTGTGGGCGATTTTGTCGGGGAAGCGGTGGTTGGAGCCTGTGTGGTGGGAGCCTGGGAAGGGCTTCCAGGGGTTACCGTCGGGTGTAGCGTTGTAGGAGCCCCTGTTGGCGAAGAGCTAGGGGATGCTGTGGGGCCTTTAGTGGGCGCGTCCGTGGGGGTATCTGTCGGAGAGGAGCTCGGCGATGTTGTCGGACCTGTGGTGGGTTTATTTGAGGGCGAAATTGACGGTGAGGAGCTCGGGGATGCTGTTGGCCCTGTTGTGGGTTTGCTTGAGGGCAAAAATGACGGAGAAGAGCTGGGGGATGTAGTGGGGGCAGCGCTCGGTATCTTTGTAGGCGAATCTGTCGGAGAAGAGCTAGGAGATATTGTAGGGACAGCGGACGGAACGTGGCTTGGAATCTGAGTAGTAGGAGCCAGGGAAGGGCTTCCAGGGGTAACAGTTGGCACGGAAGTTGTAGGAGCTCCTGTCGTTGGAGTTCCCGTTGGATTGGACGATGGCTGCACTGAAGGTTCTGCTGACGGACCTGTTGAAGGTGTTTCAGATGGCCCCGCTGAAGGCGTGCTGGATGGCTGGACTGAAGGCGTTTCAGAAGGAGTGGAGCTAGGCGAAGTAGACGGTGTTGCAGACGGTGTTTCAGAAGGAGTGGAGCTAGGAACAGTCGAAGGGGTGATTGACGGTGTTTCAGAAGGAGTGGAACTTGGCACAGTCGAAGGGGCGATAGACGGTGTCTCGGAAGGGGCGATGGACGGTGTCTCGGAAGGGGCGATAGACGGAGTCGCTGAAGGGGCGATGGACGGTGTCTCGGAAGGGGCGATCGAGGGTTGGGGACTGCCGTTGCTGTTCCCATTGGAATTCCGTTGGAATTCCCGTTGCCATTCCAGGAACCAGAAGAAGGCGTACTTGTTGATGGGGCTTCCGAAGTGGGGACACTAGTGGTGGGTGCCGCTGCCGTAGGAGCACTAGTGGTTGGTGCCGTAGCCGTAGGAGCACTAGTTGTGGGTGCCCCCGTCGAAGGCGCACTAGTGGTTGGCGCCGCTGCCGTAGGAGCACTGGTTGTGGGTGCTGCTGCCGTAGGAGCACTAGTGGTGGGGCTCTCAGTTGTGGGATTTGCCGATGTTGGTGCAGAAGATGTTGGTGCACTAGTGTGGGTTGGCAGTAGTGGGAGCACTCGTGGTGGGCGCCCCTGTCGTAGGTGCACTGGTTGTGGGTGCAGAAGACGTTGGTGCAGGGAGTGTGGGGTTGGCAGTCGTGGGAGAGCCACCACCCAATCCAGAGATTTCAAATCTCACATTTTGACCCTGTGGATCCAACACCTTCACCGTGACACCCGACTCATAAACCCATCCCTCCATGTAGGCATCGGTATTGGGATAGACAGTGTTGCCTTGACCGGTTCCCAGTTGTTGTCCGGATTGCCAAAGATCACCAGCGTCGCCCTTGTTGACTCCTTTTTCGAGGTCATAGTTTCCATCCGCTGGCAACATGGCGCATTCATAATGATATCCATTGGCGGGCCATGCTGCGCCATTGGCGGTCTGACCGGGATATCCTGCTTGTTTCTGTTCGTCTTTGGCCGTGTCCACGTGATAAATGGCGAGTCCAGTTCCAAAAAGATCGACATCAAATTCCAGCTTTTGTCGATTTTCAAAGAGCAAGTATTCCTCAAAGGAACCAAAGGATTGCAGTACAATCTTGTACGATTCATCTGTCAATGCCAGGGGTTGTAGGGTATACACTCCATCCGAGTCAATCACGGTGGGTGTGGCCCATTCTGCTTCAATTTTGCTAAAGGTACTCAAGTGGCCTGGTTTGTTGCCATTTCCAGCGGGACCTTTTTTGAGAAAAAGAGTGGTTGTTGGTTTTGGTATGTGAGATTCACAATGTCATCTAAACGCAAACAGCGCGCAATACCGGCTCTTCCTGCACGAACGCACCGTATGGCGAGGCCATGATATCAAAGCTTCCAATACCATTACCCTCGTCGGAATAGAGATCCTTTGTTTGTGTAGAGGTAGAGAGACAAGAGTGAATGACTTGTTAGAGAAAGCAAAACCCAAACCAATCTCCATCTATCCACCACAAAGTTTCACGTACAATTAGTCCAAACGTATGCATGTATCTTTTTGTTTGTGGTTGTAGTTGTTGGCAGCAGTACGACAAATGAGAGATTTGCACCACAACAACAACTGCCAGAACCGTCCTTGTCATCATATACTTACTCATGAACCGTCAATCCAATAGTCGCCGGATTGGCGCCCGTGTGATCTTCCAAGGCAGATGCCACGGTATATCCTGCCAATTGGACACTCCCATCTTTGGACGTCCACGCCGTGTCGCCCGCATCGGCAAACGCATGGGCCCAAATGCGATTCTCCCACGATGTCCCATAGGCATCCACTTCGGTGGTTTCGGCTCCGTATCCACTGTGCGTGATAATGACCGAATCGAGTTTGTTGTCATTGTTCTTGTCGAAAATGGACCAGTCCCATCCGGGCGTATTGTCGAGGGCGTCGAGTGCCGGCCAAGCGGCTTTTTGAAAATCGGGTGTAATGCCGCGTTTGCCAAATGTATAGTAGGATTCGGTATTGTCCGTGACGACCCATTCGGCCACGACGGGATCAATATCGTACTTGCCATGACTATTAACGTCAAACCATTCGGGGACCAACGTCTTCCACATGTTTTCGACATCCGTCTTGGCAATGCGGTTGTCACGACCAACGTGATCGGAAAAGACGACGAGGACTACGAGGACTTTGAAGGTTCCTAGATTGGGATTGTGCGATATGGCTTGTTGTAACTGTCGATGGCTTTTGGCATGAGAGATCATGCTTTCATCGGCATGTTGGCATTCGTGGTCGGTCAAAAAGCGACAAATCTCGGGATGCAGCAGCGAGGGGGTATAATTGAACTCCAGGCCTAATCGAGCTCTCATGGCGTCGACGGGTTCCCAATCAATGTCATTTTTGGGAGGGATCCAGGCAGAGACTTGTTGCAAAAGGCACAAGGTGAAGAACACAGATAGTGATAGCATGTTTGTGGAGATACCCCTCCATCTTTGAATGAAGGGCCGCCGTCTGGTGCTGATGGTAATATTGGTTGTCATTTTGTTTTTCGGTCAGGCAGGAAACGGATACCAATGTTGGCAATTGTGTGCTGCTAATCGATGAATGTACTTGGAGGGAAAATGATCTTTGTCTTGTGCTGGAGCTTATGCTAGACCATCATTGTTCCTCAATGGTTGATGAAACCCTCTTCCTTTTCAGTTTCGTAGCATCCGTATTAACCTGGCAGCAACATGTGCCAACGGGCATCCAAAGCGGACGTGGGTAGTGGGTACAAGGTATCCTGCCTGTAAAAGCTTGGGCCCAACCAAATATCAACCGTCTTTTCTTCGTGTCTTTGGACATTGATGAACAAGAAGACTTAACAATATACTTCTCCAATCACTCCCAATCTGTTTGCTTTGGTGAAGTTGGATGCCAGTGGAACCGGTACCAATTGTCATTCGTGCAAAGTGTATCTTTTGAGGTGAAACGCCCAACCAGTCAAGACGAGCCTCAAACTGAGAGCAAACCAGACAAGACGGCACTAGCTACTAGCTATGATAGCGATCTACTCATGATAGCTAAGTCTATTGGGCTCCGGCTGAGCGGCATTTGTGATGGTCACACCATCCTAGCTAGCAATCTTGACTGCGAAAGTAGTTCAATTCGGGGGCATTTGAGTGTAGCAAAAGTGAGCGTTCAGGGAAATGGTGCGGCAGAACTTGCGAGGTACGGTACAGCGTACCGTACCAACACCGGTACTATCGTAAAAAGTTTCTCTAAAAATTGCCATCTGAGCGCATCCATCCAATCCACCAGGATTGGGGGCAAACAATCTCGACCAGCCACCCATTCCACTGTTCTGGCTGGCTGATGGAGAGGTACCATGGTGTTACCGTACGGTATCTTAGCCCTCATCTCACGGTTTTTTAGTTGGCACGGATTTTGTCTTCCACCAACCCAATCTGCTCCTGGCTTCGTTTACATGTACGTACCGGTTATATTACGATGAGGCCTCACTATCTTTATCTTGGCGCTCCTTGGCAAGTTCTTCTAGCTATCTAGTCGTCAGAATGCATGTTCACCCGAAATAAATCCAAGATTGATTCTATGGGTTGCTATCCCCATGCCTTACAATAAACGGCATGGCCCACAAAAGAGATTGAGTTTGTCGTTTCCGTTGTGATCTCATCCGTCTGTTCTGATCCATTAATTGGTTGAAATAACTCGGAAGTTCCCAAGGGTGGCAACAAGTTGGCTTGACTCGACTTGACTCTGATGGCAGATGCAACGAGGAAATTGCCATTTTGGCGCCGTTCGTTTCGAATCTGAATCTTGCCACCAGTGGTACGACTGTAGCAGTGTCTTGCACTTCTCACAACCAATTCCTTTGCAACCGGGGCCACGGCCGACCTATATCGCAATAAAGTAATACAAATTCTGGTTCATCCGTTCACTTGATCCTTGGTCACCAACACTGGTGGAAAAAGAGGCAACAAAACAAGGATAATAAAGACAGTACATGAGCAAGTGCAATCTCAAACTTATCCCAATAAGGATGCCATGAGAGGAACGATGGAGGACTTACAGAAGATGGCAACCGCCAAGGATCCAAGGAGCACAATCGCCAGAGTAAAGACTACGCCAAACCAGAATCGCCATCTCCTTCTCTCTCTTTTCCATTCCCTCTCCTCTTCTTCGTCCTCTATCATGATGAAATTCGTTATCTACATGAACACATGAACGCCTTGCTTGTCGCTGCTGAGTGCATGCAGTGGTTGCATGCTCGAGGGACTGCTGCTGGTGACTCGACTCGTCACTCACTACAGGCCGGACTGAAGTCGGTTGTCAGGTGTCAGTTGGTCGAGCTCGGAAGAGTTTCAAGGTCGCAGGGAGAGACAATGGCCGACCCTCCCGACAGCCTTAAACAGAGTTTTAGGGGGGGTTAGGCACCAGCGCGGGGGAGGGAAAAGAAAAAAGAAAGGGAGAGGGTTAACGGTTGGGATTCCGAATTCCCAACCAGTGAGCCTGCAGGGCCTGACGTTGACCAAAAGAAGTCATAACGGACACCGCACACACGATCCAGGGAAGAAAATACTTATAGAAATGAGGGGAGAAGGCAATGACCGATCGTCCCCCCATAGGTAAGACGTCCGAAGAACAAGAATATGTCAGCAAATACGTCACCAGAGAGGTTCGTTGATGTCTTGATGTCAAATTCAAATTGACCCAACGGAAGCCGGCCATCTGACTGGCTTTTTTCTGTTCCCAATCCTTCGCTGATACCATACCTTCCCATTATTTTTGAACATCGCACTCGCTACTAGTAGAGTACACGATCGCTCCTCCTCCGACTCGACGTTGTCAACAGTTACTATCGAACAAACAAACCTCGACCATGACGAGGATCGCAACTACTCCTTTGTTCTCCAAGTGGCTACTGAGTGTCAATGATGCATACCCATTCAATGAGCTGAGGGCCACAAGAAATGGATTCACTTGCAAGTACATCATTGTGGAAGAACAAGAGCCCCACCTCACCAACTACCAGAAGTTTCATTGTTGGCCCACAAATGAAGTGCCTGATCTTGAGGAGTTGATATACCAAGGAGCATGCAAGCCTCTTCCTCCTGACATGACAAGCATCATGGATTACATGTTTGAGTGGGGTCTTCAGAATAGTCCAAAATGGTACAGTGCTGTTGTCTCGACCCTTTATGAAATGCTGGAGGGGCCAGAACGATGTGAAAGGAAGGACGTCTTCATTGAGTGCATGTATTGGTTAGTGAAGGAAACGATTACCAAGAGCTATGACTTCTACTCCAATGAAGGACAGATTGTGATGGATGCTTGGCATGGGTATTGTACCCACTGGTATGACTACTACAACAACAAAATCTCCTTCAAGATATTGACTTTGATGAGTGATGATTTTGTTGAGGATTGCATTGAAGACATGAAGAGCCTTGGATTCTTGCAACCCCACAATGCTGTACATTGTGGTAGTCTAATGTAAGTTAAAGGCTACATTAGAAATGAATTTGATGCATCTAAATCTTAAATTGTTTTTGTTATCCACCATATCCAGTGAATCTAGATTGGCAATGAGCATCATGGGGTGGTCTTCCTCTCCTGTTAGTCAACCACTGGCAGTATCTGTGACAGCAGCCATTTGGTGGTGGTGGCTGGAAAGGAGATGGCAGTATTGGTTGGAATTGCCGCATTTGCATGGCGAGTTGCATCATTTGAATTTGTTGTTGTTGAAATTGAAGCATGTTACTCATGTAATTGTTTGTTGTTTGTGCCACAGCTGCTTGGGCTGCTGCTGCTGGTGGTGGTGGTGGTGGTGGTGGTGGTGGTGGTGGTGCAATGGCCTCTGTTTCCATCGGTGTTTGTACTGTTGGTGGTCCACGATGCTGGACTGTTGGTGCTTCTACTGGTGGTTGTGGTTCTGTACAAGCCACACACAAACAACAATCATTTGGTGCATACTTCTGCCGCTGTGGTTTGAATGCAACAATGAACTCTGAAAAGAACCTCTCTCCATTATCCTGTGGCAAAGGCTCTGCATTAGGAAATGGTGCATCCACACCAGCAGCCTCTGCTAGCAAATCAGGTAAGCCAACTCTGAATGGTTCCAGTATGGAACAACTTTTCCCATCCAGCTGGAATTGACCTCTTTCTTCCAGACTGATTCTTACAGGAAGGCTCTCTTGTGTCGAATGTTGAGTTGTATCTTGCTGTTCCAGCCAGGTTAAGGCATCTGCTAGACTTCTTCTCATGCCACTATTGGCGAAATGGGCAAACTTGTATGGAATCTTCCAGTTTGGATTCTCCTCTCTTTGACAGATACTCTGGGAGGTGTGCTTGGAATTGGGTGAGGTAGGATGTGTCATACATTTTCCAGGCAGTGGATCACCAAGTGATGGCTTTGTCAACACAGTTCTCCACTGCTGGCTTGGTGTCTTAGTAAACAAGGTATAGTTCTTGACTGGATCCAGTCGACCTTCCTGGTGGCTACCATCACTGGCAGTGACTTTGTACCTGAGAACCACTGCTGCAACCTCTTGCCTCATTGTCTCGGTTCTTCTCATCTTCTTCCTTAGATACTTGGAGTACCTGGCTCTGAAGACCTTGGAGGCTTGCATATCGGAGATCTCTGCCATGGAGTAGCTTGCCATTGGAGGACAAGAGGCCATGTTTCAATGCATGGAGAAGTTTCTCATATCATCGGTGAGTACACATACAAGCAATCAAGAGGTCTGACAGTAGCTTGATAAGAGTAACATGTTTCCCCCTTTTTCTTCAAAAGTTGAACAAGGGAATTCCCTTCCTTCTTCCCTAATGAGAACAGGGCCAAGTCTTCGATCGGAGAAGAGTACCCTCAGTTAGTCATCCTTGTGTGGGCCAGGTGTCGCTGGTACAATGGCAGCCTTGGCTTGAAAGTGGGCTCCTCCTTGCCTAGCTGCAAATGGCTTGCATGGGAGAAGTGGGGATGGTCTTGGGGTTGGGGAACCAGACATGCAGAAAGCAAATCTTCTCCAGTCTCCAGTAGCAGCCATCCCAAACACACAGCAGCAAACCAAAGACTCTTGGGGTTAGTTCTTGGACCACCCTGAAAGTTATGGTCTTGGCAGAAGATTCCTTGGTTG